AAGAAGGGTATGTCTGATAATATTACTGATACATCTGCAATAATCAGGGAGATCCATCTCTTAAGATTTATCTTGCTGAACTTCTTTTTTTTTTTTTGAGTCAGAGTCTCACTTTGTTGCCCAGGCTAGAGTGAGTGCCGTAGCGTCAGCCTAGTTCACAGCAACCTCAAACTCCTGGGCTCAAGCAATCCTACTGCCTCAGCTTCGCAAGTAGCTGGGACTACAGGCATGTGCCATTATGCCCGGCTAATTTTTTCTATAAATATATTAGTTGGCCACTTAATTTCTTTCTATTTATAGTAGAGACGGGGTCTCGCTCTTGCTCAGGCTGGTTTTGAATTCCTGACCTCGAGCAATCCGCCTGCCTCTGTCTCCCAGAGTGCTAGGATTACAGGCATGAGCCACCGCGCCTGACCTGAACTTATTTTCTTAAACAGGCAATTTTTTAGAGCAGTTTTAGGTTCATAGCAAAATTGCACGGAAAGTACAGAGTTCCCATACACCCCCATCTGGACATGAAACACCTCCCCCCAAATCACACCCCATCAACACCCTGCACCATAGTAGTATTTTTGTTACAATCTATGAACATACATAAGCATATCATTATCATCCAGAGTCCCATCTTGGTAGTGTGCATTCTGTGGGTTTTGACAAATGTGTAATGGCACGTAACCACCATTACAGTATATAGAATACTTTCACTTCCCTAAAAATTCTCTGTGTTTTGCCTAATCATTCCTCCCTCCTTCCTTTGCTCCCTTCCTCCCTCCCTGGCCCTGGCAACCACTGATCTTTTTGTTGTCTCTGTGGTTTTGAATTTTCCAGAATGCTATACAGTTGGAATAATATAATATGTTGCCTTTTCAGATTAGCTACTTTCACTTAGTAATATGTATTTAAGGTTCCTCTATGTTTTTTTCATGGCTTGATTGCCTGTTTCTTTTTTAGTGCTGGATAATAATCCATTGTCTGGATGTACTATAAATTATTAATTCACCTGTTGAAGGACATCTTAGTTGCTTCCAAGTTATTGGCAATTATGAATAAAGCTGCTATAAACATCCATGTGCAGGTTTTTGAGAGGACATAAATTTTTAACTCTTTTGAGTAGATACCAAGGAGTTGGATTACAGGATCATGTAGTATGTTTAGTTTTATAAGAAACTGCCAAACTTTCTTCCAAAAATGTCTGTAACATTTTGCATTCCCACCAGCAATGAATGGAAGTTCCTGTTGTTCCACATCCTCACCAGCCTTTGGTGTTGCCAGCGTATTGGATTTTTGCCATTCTAGTAGGTGTGTAGTGGTGTCACATTGTTTTAATTTGCTATTCCTTAATGATATATGATGTCGAGCATCTTTTCATAGGTTTATTTGCTGTCGGTAGCTCTTTGGTGAGATTTCTGTTCAGATCATTTGCCCATTTTTTAATCAGGTTGTTCATTTTCTCATTGCTTTGAGTTTTAAAAGTTCTTTGTGTATTTTGGATAATAGTCCTTTGTCAGATATGTCTTTTGCAAATATTTTCTCACAGTCTGTGGCTTGTCTTCTTATTCTTTTGAGAACTTAAAAAAAAAGTTCTGATTTCTAGATTCAGTTGCCCTTAGGATCCCGGGTATTGCTAGAGCTTTTGGTTTTGGCTTCAGGTTTTAGAAGTCCCCATACAAAGCATCCAGTAGGCTGTCACCTATCTAGCTAATACTTAAAAAGATGGGAAGGCTATTTTACACATCATTTATCTAATGCTTTCATCTCCTTGTACTCCAGGAAAAAAGTCAGACTGCCCACCTTTCCTTTACAACTCAACCCTCTAGCTTCAGATTGCCTTTCAGTGACATATTTTAGCCTTAAAACTGTTCTTGGTGTTCACAGTGAGTTGTTTCCATCTGCTTCATTATATTATCATAGTGGGAGTGGGACATGGTGTCATCTGCCCCCTATTGAAGGCAGCAGTTTTTCCAGGTACCTAAAATGAACTAAGCCCCCACAGTTCTTGAGGAATGGTAGCTGCATCTTAACATTTCCCACCAATCCCAGGTTTGGAGCCTAGTGGTTTTGCCTCTTGACATCGTGTACTATTGAGTGAATATAATATCTTCAAATATGTTTTCATAAAGCCTCCAGGAAATTATTTGAATTTGGATAAAGACATTAACAAAGTAACATTTTTGTTTTTCTTGCAATCCACTGAGTACTCCCTCTGCTCAGCTGTGCATGAGCTGTGGGAAGAAGTAACATTTCAATCTAGATGTGACTTTTGTTCTGTCTGTATCTCTGTTCCCATTTTCTGCTGGAGTACTAGAAAGAAAGGTGGGATTTTGTGAAAATTTTTCCAACTAGTAAATAGAGGACAGATTCAGGTGGTCTAATGAAGAGAAATACACCCCTCCTTCAGTCTCTGGGAATTTTACCTGGACAGAATTCAGGAAGCAAAGAGAACCCTGCCCAGTTTTTACCTTTGCTACTACAGGGTCATGAACAGACAGTGCTGTGAGGGAGGTGGGGCAAAGGAGTGGGAATTGTTTAAGGCCCAAGTCTCTTCACTGCTCCCTGCGTTCTTTTGGCCCTATGTCTGAATATTGGGAGCATTAAAAACAAAACATAAACATTTCACTGGCCAAGAAGCTAACTGCAGCTGCTAAAACATAGAACAGATAGTGTGGTCTTGAGTTAGCAACTCCTTTGTCCCTAATTACATGTATTTCTTCACTTAATCTTTCTAACAAATCTGTGATATAGATACCAAATATACATTTTACAAGTAAATAAACCTGTAGTTTGGTTTACAGAGTTTAAGTAACTTGCCAAAACTCACACAGCTTAAAATTATAAGAACCACAATACAACTTGAAACCATATCAGATGATTCACAGAATTGAAGGGAAAGTTAAAAATGGGCAGGAAGGCATGGGACCCTAGGCGGCAGAGAACCCAGGCAAAGCCATATCACTGAGTAGGCTGATTTGAGCACCACATTTGACACTTTTTTCTTTTTGAGACTGAGTCTCACTCTGTCACACTGGGTAGAGTGCAGTGGCATCTTCATAACTCACTGCAACCTCAAACTTCTAGGCTCAAGCAATCCTCCTGCCTCAGCCTCCTGAGTAACTGGGACTACAAGCATGTGCCACAATGCCTGGCTAATTTTTCTATTTTTAATAGAGATGGGATTCACTCTTGCTCAGGGATGCTATGCCTTCTCCATAAGACTTGAACTCCTGAGCTCAAGCATCTGCCCACTTCGGCCTCCCAGAGTGTTAGGATTACAGGTGTAAGCCATCACGCCCACACCTGGCACTGCAACCTCTGTGTGCTAAGCAAGCAATGCTCTTGGACTCTTTTTTTTTTTTTGAGACAGAGTCTCACTTTGTTGCCCAGGCTAGAGTGAGTGCTGTGGCATCAGCTTAGGTCACAGCAACCTCAAGTTCCTGGCCCCAAGTGATCCTACTGCCTCAGCCTCCCGAGTAGCTGGGACTACAGGCATGCGCCACCATGCCTGGCTAATTTTTTCTATATATTTTTAGTTGGCTAGTTAATTTCTTTCTATTTCAGTAGAGTTGGGGTCTCTCTGTTGCTCAAGCTGGTTTTGAACCCCTGACATTGAGCAATGGCCTCCCAGAGTGCTAGGATTATAGGCGTGAGCCACCGCGTCCAGCCCTCTTGGACTCTTAAATGTCACCATGGAGAATTTATCAACTACTGCTTTGTTTTTGTGTCTCTTTCAAAATTCAAGTGAGAACATTTAGTTAGCAGGCTTCATTCATGTGCTAGTGTTCCAGGGGCCAGGAGATGGGGATGAGTATCTGGCCTGTTTGGCTTCTTTAGTAGAAGATTGGGCCCTGGCTCCCACCAAGACTGACACAATCAGATTCTCCCCAAATAGAAAGAGTATTTGGAAACTGGGCAGCCATAATACGAAGGGTCGATGTCTACCATACAAACCATGGTATGCACATGTCCATGTGACATTCTGCTGATGATTGGTTGAACTGGGAAGCTGTGCTGGACTATTTTTTCCTGAGACGAGAGTCTGTCTAACAATTCAACAGGACTTTTAGGCAATATACAAAGTATAGGAGTTTTCACATGAGAATGTCTGGCTGTTTCTGATTCACTAAAACTGGCCAGCAAAACCAGCCAGGGTCAATCTGAGGAGAGAGTGGATAGAAAATCAACCCATAAAGAAAATCCTTCCCTAACTTCTGGGCTTAATGTATCCTCAGTGTGGTATCTTAAGACACTGAATTTGTATGTTTCTGGGCAGTATTTCACTGTAGCTTTACCCTGTTAACCATATTAAACATTTTCTTGTGAGAAGGAAAAAGAATTATTTTACTTGCATGTCTTTGCCCTTCTGTAGACTTTTTTTTTTTTTTTTTTTTTTTTTGAGACAGAGGCTCACTCTGTTGCCCTGGCTAGAGTGTTGTGGCGTCAGCCTAGCTCACAGCAACCTCAAACTCCTGGGCTCAAGCGATCCTCCTGCCTCAGCTTCCCAGGTAGCTGGAACCACAGGCAGGCGCCACCATGCCTGGCTAATTTTTTCTATATATTTTTATATATAGTTAATTTCTATATATTAAATTAATATATAGTTAATTTCTTTCTATTTTTAGTAGAGATGGAGTCTCACTCTTGCTCAGGCTGCTTTCAAGCTCCTGACCTTGGGTGATCTTGCCGCCTTGGCCTCCCAGAGTGCTAGGATTGCAGGCGTGAGCCACTGCCCCCGGCCCTTTCTTGTAGACTCTTTGCCTTAAGACTAGGAAACATATAGTTTTTTAAAAATCTTAAGTGTATTGTTTCCAGCATATAGTAAGCATTTTTAAAAATACTTAAATGACTGGCTGGCTGAGTGAATTTTTCTTAGCCATCTTTTTCTGAAGCTGAATGGATTTTTGTGAAATGAGTCATGTATGTTTGAAATATTTTATACTTTTTTTTTTTAGATTGTTCTGGGAAGAAGGACCATAGTGACATTCTCTCTGCTTTTGTTGTTACAGGTGTTCCAGGATTTAGGGATGGAAGTACTATCTGGAGCTGCCAAAGGCTATAACATATGCCTTTTTGCCTATGGCCAGACAGGCTCTGGGAAGACATATACCATGCTGGGGACCCCAGTGAGTATTATTTAGTATTATAATGAGCTATCTTCCTAGTGCCACAGCAAGCCTGAATCTTACATTGTCCTGGCCACTGTGAGGTGGAATGTGATTGATTTCTATAGTTAGTCAACTTTAACAAGATTTAACGAGCCCTCTTTTGTATTAAGAATAGGTTTTTCAGCATTTAATTGAAAGATAAACTTTGAATAATTAGCCCCTCTTTATTAAAATCTGGAAAGCTTTAGAATTTTATAGCCCCATTTTATGAAAGTAGACCTCAGTCAGTTTTACTGAATTTCTCAATACCAAGTTCATCACTTGAAGTTTTTTTTTTTCCAGCATATTATGGGAGTACAAATGTTAAGGTTACATATATTGCCCATGCCCCCCCACTCAAGTCAGAGCTTCAAGCGTGACCATCCCCCAAATGTTGCACATTTCACTCCTTATGTTTGTATATACCCATCCCCTCCTCCCTCCTCCCCCCTTCCACCTGCCCGACACCTGATAAATGTTATTCCTATATGTCCACTTAGGTGTTGATCCGTTAATACCAATTTGCTGGTGAGTACATGTGGTACTTGTTTTTCCATTCTTAAGGTACTTCACTTAGTAGAATGGGTTCCAACTCTATCCAGGAAAATACAAGAGGTGCTATATCACCATTGTTTCTTAAAGCTGAATAGTACTCCAAGGTATACATATATCACATTTTATTAATCCACTCATGTATTGATGGGCACTTGGGCTGTTTCCACAACTTTGCAATTGTGAATTGTGCTGCTGTAAACATTTGAGTGCAGGTGTCTTTTTTGTTCTGGACAAGACCTAGACTGAATCTTAAGTGCTAAGTGGGGCTATGCAGAGATGGAATTATTGTGGCCCAGCTCTAAGCCTACATGTGTTAGATCCATGCACTAGAAGGAAGCAGGAGAACCAGCTCCTGGGCCGGGTGATTTCAAAAGTATATAGGATTTAGTGAGAATCTTCCTTCATTATAGAAAATTAAGAGGGCAGAATTCCTCAAGAATACCTCTATTTTAGGTTTAGAAGTATCCTGTTGAGGTGGTTGACAAATAATACTATATGAGGACGTTCTCTAGGTCATTATTCCTCCTAAATGATCATCCCTGCTGCCTTGGGCCCAGCTCATTTCCTACTTTGTCCATGTTTATTGTGGGTTCACATTATTTGAAATTAAAAGAAGAAATTGCCCACTAAACCAAAGTATAAAGCCTTTAACCTGACTACAAGTTAGCACCGAACACAAGAGGGAGAAAGAAGCCACCCCTCTCTAAATGTGTATTTCAAATACCCATGTATTCTGGTCTTACCTGTGTGTAGGGCTAGGAGGTGTAGGAGTTTAGGAGGAACCACAGTGGTAAATTCAGTTTTTCCAAGAATGACATAATCTTCATTGCATAAAAGCAGGTATCTGGGTTTGCTAGCTTCTCTTTTCATCTTGTGATTATATGCCTCTTATCTGGTACATTCTTCCCATGAGTGTGTGTTTTGAGAGCACTGGCATATAAGTCTTATATATGCCTCCATGGAAACTGCCTAAAGTGAAGAGGCTATAAGGAGCCTACGTTCCTATCCCCCATGCTGAGGATGGTTCCTGGGTATTGGGTGGAGGAGAGTGTCACCTTGAGTAAACAATAATGCTTTCCTTTCTTTCGTTCTCCAGGCTTCTGTTGGGCTGACACCCCGAATATGTGAGGTAGAGACTCTCTTTTGACTGGATTCTTTCAAAGTAGGTTTCCTTTGTACATTCCCTACAATGAATCCCCAACCCTCTGATTTGTGCAGGGTCTCTTTGTCAGGGAGGAAGACTATGCCTCACCGCCTTCCTCCTGTAGAATAAAAGTAAGGTAAGTACCTATCAAGATATGGGACCCTACAGTGTTTCTACTTTTACTCCAAATTCTAGCTGTCCTCTTTTTGCTTCCAGAGTTACCAGAGAGATGGAGAAAAGCCACAGAAGAACAGTACAGGGAGATGAGAAACATACTTAGGTCCTTGATTCTAGAAAACTTAATTCCCTACCATTGGACTTAACAAGTAGTTCTCTCCTTCTGTGGGCCAGCTTAGCCGGGCTGTCTAGTTTCCCTTTTCTTTTCTTTTTTTTTTTTTTTTTTTTTTTTGAGACAGAGTCTCGTTTTGTTGTCCAGGCTAGAGTGAGTGCCATGGCGTCAGCCTAGCTCACAGCAACCTCAAACTCCTGGGCTCCAGCGATCCTTCTGCCTCAGCCTCCCGAGTAGCTGGGACTACAGACATGCGCCACCATGCCCGGCTAATTTTTTTTATATATATATCAGTTGGCCAATTAATTTCTTTCTATTTATAGTAGAGACGGGGTCTCGCTCTTGCTCAGGCTGGTTTTGAACTCCTGACCTTGAGCAATCCGCCCGCCTCGGCCTCCCAAGAGCTAGGATTACAGGCGTGAGCCACCTCGCCCGGCCTCCTTTTCTTTACTTTCTGTACAGATTCATGCTGGCTTTGGGGATTCTCTTCTAGCCCCCTACTGGATTATTCTCCAGGGCAGTCATTCTCAAACCCTAGTTCCAAGACTAGTGCTGGCTATTCCAAGATAAAGTAACCAATATACTGTGAAATATTGATGTAAGTTTACCAATTTCCCTTTATTCTTTGTTTTTTGGTTTTTTGTGTGTTTTTTTTTTTTTTGGTATTCATTATCCTTTTTTAAAAAAATTGACCTGTAATTCACCTAACATAAAATGAACTTACCATAAAATGTAAAAGTGTACAGTTCAGGGATTTTTACAATATTTATAAAATTATACAACCATGGCCCCTATCTATTAATAGTTCCAGAACATTTTCATCACCCCAAAAGGAACAACTGCTTTTTTAAAAAATTAAATGATTGTGAATGTTATTTTTACATTTTTTAAGTTTGCAAAATTATTTGCAAACTTCTGTGTAGATATACACATTTATATGTATACATATATGGATATATATTAAATGTTTTATTGTCCATAAAATCTGGGAATTACTATTTTGAGAGACAGCTGGGGTTTTTATGTCCAGATATAAGGAGGTTAGGGAAAAACATGAGACAAGTGTGAATATAGTTCATCTTTGAACTGGAACATTTTTTTCTGACTGCCGACTCCATAGGCAGGCTTCCATGTTCTGGTGAGGAGGACCTTTCTGTTTTCTTTCTTTCTTTTTTTTTTCCCCGTTAACCATCTGGAGGCATCAGGTAGAGTGGTGAGGAAGACCTTTCTGTGAGAAGTCAACCTTCTTATTTAATAAAATATTTACTGGTTTTAATAAAGAATTGTAACTGTTTTTTAAAGGAATGTGATGTCAGTAGATACTTATGCAACAGCATATTATATAGAGAATACCAGTATATAAAACATATAAAATGATAATTATCCTACTTAAAGCATGGGTGGAGACTGGAACCTTTCTTACTTAGCTTCCCTTGTTACATCTGCACTTGAGGTACCTTCACAGAACAAAAGATCTCAAGGAACATGTTTGAAAATCAAGAAACAAGCTCTGTAGACCCCGTGCTGTGAAAGTCTGATCAAGGCAGAGTCTGATGACAGAATACCCTAAAAACCACACTGAAATAGCCCCTTGAGAGCTAAACTTAAGTCAGCACTGACATTAGAAACCTAAAACTGTGAAATAATGACAGCCAATGCTCAAAACTCTATTGTATGCGTATGGAAAGACACTCAAGGGAGAACTCTGGCTGGATCAAAGTCTTAGAGTCAGAGGTAGAGCTGCAACAGGAACTAGGACCTTCTGATTCTGGGCTTAGTGTTTTTCCTACATTTTTCAAAATCTGATTATGTAACCTTTCTCTGTTTGTCTCTAGTTTCCTGGAAATCTATAATGAACGGGTACGGGATCTGTTGAAGCAATCTGTTCAAAAAAAGTCGTATACCCTGCGGGTCAGGGAGCATCCGGAGATGGGGCCCTATGTACAAGGTGAGCTACTGTGGTCCTGGAGATCTGAGACCAAACTGAAGCCTGGGAAGCTCTCCCGATGTGCACTATTTTATTCAACATACATGTAATGAATACTTACCATGTGCCAGCTACTGTACTAGACACTGGTTATGCACTGATTAGTAGAAAAGATGTGGTCCTGCCCACACAGGTGAGCTTATATTCTAGTGGACATGAGTCTGAAAACAAGCACCTAATGACAAGTTATGATAAAGGCTAATACAAAAATAACTAGATGTAGTGATGGAAAAGAACACCAGTAGGTATAGGTGACCCACCTGTACAGGGTTGGTCAGGAGAAGCTTTTCTGTGCAGGTACCATTTAAGCTGAGACCCGAAAGGAGTACAGGAGCCAGTCCTGTGAAGAATGGTGTAGCTATGATGAGTGTTTGAGGAAAGGGGATAGGCTGAACTAGAGACCTGAGAGGAGGCTTACTGTTTTCAAGGAGGCCAGTGTGGCTGAAGCAAACCATGGTAAATGAGGGGGGAAAGCGGTATGGAATAAGCCTCAGCTTCCCTAGTCACTAGGATTAGAGGCATGAGCCACTGTGCCTGGCACAGTTTTATAGTGGAAACTTAAACTGGCTCCTGGCAAAGTAAGTGGTAATTTTTTGTTTGTTTGTTTCCAGGCTGGAATATTTGGGAAAAGATACTGGTAGCAGAATCAATGACTGTCAAACCTATGGTGACAGAATCAATGACTGTCAAACCTATTGGCCATCCCCTGATGAGAGACGAGACCAGCTCTTGATCTTTCATGTCCTTCTCCTTGTTAGGATTTAAATTAGCATAATGCTGTAGGAATAGGAACATAAAATTTACATGTGTTACTTTTTTTTTTTTTAAATAGCCCAATCTCACTATGTTCAAGGCTGGCATGTCCTTGACCTCCTGGGCCCAAGTGATCCTCCTGCCTCAGCCTCCCAAGTAGCTGGAATTATAGGCATGCACCACCACAACTGGCTCTATGTTACTTCTTTTTTTTTTTTTTTTTTTGAGACAGAGTCTCGCTTTGTTGCCCAGGCCAGAGTGAGTGCTGTGGCATCAGCTTAGGTCACAGCAACCTCAAGTTCCTGGCCCCAAGTGATCCTACTGCCTCAGCCTCCCGAGTAGCTGGGACTACAGGCATGCGCCACCATGCCTGGCTAATTTTTTCTATATATTTTTAGTTGGCTAGTTAATTTCTTTCTATTTCAGTAGAGTTGGGGTCTCTCTGTTGCTCAAGCTGGTTTTGAACCCCTGACATTGAGCAATGGCCTCCCAGAGTGCTAGGATTATAGGCGTGAGCCACCGCGTCCAGCCCTCTTGGACTCTTAAATGTCACCATGGAGAATTTATCAACTACTGCTTTGTTTTTGTGTCTCTTTCAAAATTCAAGTGAGAACATTTAGTTAGCAGGCTTCATTCATGTGCTAGTGTTCCAGGGGCCAGGAGATGGGGATGAGTATCTGGCCTGTTTGGCTTCTTTAGTAGAAGATTGGGCCCTGGCTCCCACCAAGACTGACACAATCAGATTCTCCCCAAATAGAAAGAGTATTTGGAAACTGGGCAGCCATAATACGAAGGGTCGATGTCTACCATACAAACCATGGTATGCACATGTCCATGTGACATTCTGCTGATGATTGGTTGAACTGGGAAGCTGTGCTGGACTATTTTTTCCTGAGACGAGAGTCTGTCTAACAATTCAACAGGACTTTTAGGCAATATACAAAGTATAGGAGTTTTCACATGAGAATGTCTGGCTGTTTCTGATTCACTAAAACTGGCCAGCAAAACCAGCCAGGGTCAATCTGAGGAGAGAGTGGATAGAAAATCAACCCATAAAGAAAATCCTTCCCTAACTTCTGGGCTTAATGTATCCTCAGTGTGGTATCTTAAGACACTGAATTTGTATGTTTCTGGGCAGTATTTCACTGTAGCTTTACCCTGTTAACCATATTAAACATTTTCTTGTGAGAAGGAAAAAGAATTATTTTACTTGCATGTCTTTGCCCTTCTGTAGACTTTTTTTTTTTTTTTTTATTATTTTGAGACAGAGTCTCACTTTGTTGCCCAGGCTAGAGTGAGTGCCGTGGCATCAGCCTAGCTCACAGCAACCTCAAACTCCTGGGCTCAAACAATCCTCCTGCCTTAGCCTCCCGAGGAGCTGGGACTACAGACATGTGTCACCATGCCCAGCAAATTTTTTCTATGTATATTAGTTGGCCAATTAATTTCTTTCTATTTATAGTAGACAGGGGGTCTTGCTCTTGCTCAGGCTGGTTTCAAACTCCTGACCTCGAGCAATCCACCCGCCTCGGCCTCCCAGAGTGCTAGGATTATAGGCGTGAGCCACCGCGCCCGGCAAGACCTGCGTCTTGAAAAAAAGATTAACCAAGTGTGGTGGTGTGCACCTATAGCCCCAGTTACTTGGGAGACTGAGACAAGATGTTTGAGGCTACAGTGAGTTATGATATTGCCACTGTACTCCAGCCTCGGCAACAGAGCAGGACCCCATCTCAAAAAAAAAAGCATTACTTTCAAGGTAGACCATGAGTTGATGCAGCAGTATCAAACTTCTCGTCTTAAAATGTTTTCTGTGTGTGTGTAGTAACCAGAGGATACCTCAGACATGTCCAAGTGTCCTCCTCATTATACAGAAGACAAAATGAAATCTGGGAAAAAATTAAGGGATGTTCCTAAAGTCATACAGCTAGCTGGGAGAGGATTTACAACTGGGACCTTGCCCAGGACTGGAAGAGAGGCATGGGACAGAATACTGTACATTGAGAGTCTGGAAGGAGACCTAGGATCATACATTCTTTGATTGACGTAGTACCTGCAACCCAGAGAAGATATAAACTCATACAAGGCCGTACAGCTCGGATCATGCATCAGCATCAGTGACAGGATCAGGACTGAAATCTCAGGGCTCATGCAAAGTTAAGGACTCTTTTGGATACCTTTATGGAGTGACCCCTTGGAGGGAGAGAGGATGTTTGGTAGAAAATACTGAATTCTAAACGAAGGAAAAGTCTCTTAGGTCTTGGGTTACAAGTTTCCTGAAGTCAGTCCAGACTTTCTTAAACCATACAAACATAGGTGGACATTTCTCCCATTTTTTAGTGAAGGAGCCATGGGCTCAAATAGTATAGAACTAGCCTTATAAGCTAGGAGTAGTCACACTGAACTGTTATTCATGTTACTACCCTCTGATGACATTTTAGAAAATTTTTTATTTTTGAAAATGTTTGCTTTCTTTATTGATGTATTATTTGTCTGTCTTTATGCTTATACATTTTGTGAATATGACTCTGAAGTGGAAAGTGGTTTCTGGCTTGAAAACAATTACACAAGGATTTATTGAGTACCTACTAGATGCCTGTACTATTCAGGGCACCATGAGAACTATGAAAATATAAGGCCCTTAAAGAACTTGTAATTCCAAGGCCTGGCGCAGTGGCTCACAGCTGTAATCCTAGCACTCTGGGAGGCCAAGGTGGGAGGATCACTTGAGAGCAGGAGTTCAAGACCAGCCTGAGCAAGAGCGAGACCCCCATCTCTACTAAAAATAGAAAAAATTAGTTGGGCACGGTGGCACAACCTGTAGTTCCAGTTACTCGGGAGGCTGAGGCAGAAGGCCTGCTTGAGCCCAGGAATTTGAGGTTGCAGTGAGGCTGATGCCACAGCACTGTAGCCTAGGTGACAGAGCAAGACTCTGTGTCAAAAAAAAAAAAAAAAAAAGAACTTGTAATTACAGTTTATAATTTCGAGATGGACCTTGATAGCTACCTAAATTCAAAGAAAGGAAAGGGTAACCTATTTTTTTCCATCAAAATGTTTATTAATTAGATAAGAGATTAAGTTGAAATCTGAAATGTATGGAGCCTTGCCTAAAGCACACATAAGAGGTCTGTGGTCATGGAGTTTAAACTGACATCTAAGTGAGACAGAGGTAATATGATATTTTTGCTTCAGCCTTTATTTTGATATAAAGAGATGGGTACAAAGCAAGCGATATTAGAGGAAGGTAGTTTGGACTCTGAAAAAAAATTATTTTGTATTTTTTGTGTACTTAGTATTCAACTAACAGGAGTTCCTTCCCCCCACCCCTTTAATTCTTATCCCTTTTTTCCTTGCCTTTTTGCAGTGACTAGGACCTCTAGTACAATATTAAATAAAAGTGGTAATGGTATCTAATCTTGTTTCCAGAGGAAAGCTTCAACATCTTACCATGAATTAGGATGTTTGCAATACTGGTTGTTTCAATAAATACTTTATCAAATGCTTCTCAACCTCTCTGTGGTGAAGGACCAGGTTTATTTGTTTTTAATTCCAATCCTTAGTGTACCAGTATATTTATAAAATAAGAATAGAAGGAGTCACTTTTCATTTTCATAGAAAAATGAAAACAGTATCTTAATTACAAACTCCAATTCTTCTTTGCTAGAGTCAACAGATATAAAAATTACTTTATCAAAACTATTACTGTTATAAAAGTTTCCAACACTCTCAATTTCTATACTTATCTCATTGCACACCAGTAACAATCTGAGAACTGAACCCAGTCTGTGGACCAAGTTTGAGTAGCACTGCCTTGCAAGTAAGGGAATTCTCTTTTAGTTTTCTAAGAGTTTTATTATTTAACTTTAAACAAATCAAACTTACAAAAAAGTTGCAAGTACAGTATAAACAACTTTTTCCCTAAACCATTGGAGAGTAAATTTCAGACCTGAGGACTTGTCTCCCTTGAATATTTTATTAGGGTGTTGGAATAATCTCTTACATAATTACAATACAACCAACAGAATCAGCAAATTAACTTTGATATATCACTACCATCCAGGGGTGGGGAACCTGCAGCCTCAAGGCCAGATGTAGCCCTCCAGATCCCCAAGTGCAGTCCCTTGACCAATTCCAAACTTCACAGAACAAATCTCTTTATTAAAAGGATCCCATTTTTAAGTCTTACCAATTCTTCTAATAATTATCTAGTT